AGTTGCATCACAGTGTACTGCTTTGTCTGCATCCTGTTTATTGCTTGTCTGTCTTCTGTGTGAGCTTGATTAGTTCATATGAAGTAGTAAATAACTGGGGAAGCCAGAAATGAGTTGGTTTGGAGATGTGTGATACTGAGGTAAAACGCTTTATATACAGTAGAGGCAGGTACAGAAATTGTGTACAGGTTAAAAATTACACCAGACACTTTGTGGACCTGCTTGTGTATGATAGAAACTGCTTTGTCATGGGGAACCTTATAATGTCGTCCACATTTTTTATTTTGTGGTTAAAACATCCTCATCTATTATTAAACCTATGCAGACGAACTGTCCTGTTGTGAGAGCTGTTCTCACTTATAGAAAACAGGATAATGAATCATAATATATACTTTACATGTTAGATGACTGCTGTGCTTTCCCCAAACCAGTTCCAGGTGTTGGTTGCATTGTGTTTTTTAATTATTGAACAGAACTTAGTTTCCTCCTCAGTGTTTGAAATCATAAGATTATTCTGGATATTGTGTATCCTGAATGTGAAGAGTCAGTCTGTCACAATCACACCTGACAGTTAAAGGGGTGGTGTTTACCTGTAAAGAATGACTCAGAGGTCACTGTTAGTGTTGTCCTGTGAAATACGTTTATTCCCTTGTGGATCCATGGAACGAGTTTCCACATGTTTACAAATGTTTCTGTCATTAATTTGACAAGATATGGCTTGGGCTTCGGCCTGCCTTCAATGATGGATGTGTTTTTTCTAGGTGTGCAAGTAAAAAAGCTAGAAATAACACATCCCATTGCTGAACTATTTTTTTTGTGTGCAGCTGAGCAGTTCATTATAGGTATCATCCCTCGTCTACAATGAAACAGACATGTTTAGCTATTCACCATTCACAATTTCAATTTTATTTTTATATTCACACTCAAAGTAGTTGTGGTGGAGCTCTATTACGTTATGATATGCTATTGCACGTTGTTGCTTTGTAATTTGTTTTATATCTGCTTTTACTACTGTAGAGAACCCATGCTGTGTATACTCTGCCCTGGTAGCTGATGAAACATTTTATCACACCTTATAAACTTGTGCCTCAATGAACATAACTTATTTGTACTGTGTGTTGTCCAGCCAAACAGAAGACAACAGTGTTTGGCCTAGCCTATTACCTGGTGTTTATTTAGCTTAAATGTTTCAAGTGGTGGGTGTGTTATTGTGTAAGGTTTGTGTTTCTTGATGCCAAAGTGAAAAACTAAAAATCTGTGTTCTTACTCTTACCTTCATTGTATTCGTCAGCGTTGATTTAAAAAAAAAAAAAAAAATGGAACTTGTCATATTTATTAATATTATTTTCTACTTGTAATGCTTTAAGATTAGCAGCTGGGATTGCAGGATACTTGTTACTGTGTACAGATGGTTATTGAAAGCCAGCTTTATTAATACAATAGGAAACCTAAATTTGCATGGGAGTTTTCATGTGACATACACATACACACACATACAGCTGATGCTATTGTAGATCTCCTTTTAGTTTGTGCTTATACCGGCAGAAGACGGTGTTACACAACAGAGGCCGGCCCAGACAACCGAAGAGGAGGTGATGAGTTGTCATGTTCACATCCCTGCACCCGTTTGGGTGAAGGAGGTTACTTGACCTTCAACCTTGGGGTCAGGTGACTGTTTGAGGCCATTGTATGGGGAGCAAACGTCGTAGGCACGGGTTAAAAAGGCTGAGCAGTGAAGGTGACATGTCTGGGCATGCTTCCTTAAAGAAGAGGGAGAAAGATAGGGAGAGGTTAGAGTCATTGATGTGAACAATACTTGGATTTGTAAAGAAATTATCAGCTTTATAAGGAAAATACATAGCTTACCTGATTAGTGCCTTTTTGTTAAGTAAATAATTAATATGGACAAGGTAAAGTTGTTGATCCATTGCTTCTTCTTCACAGTAATTCATACAATACTGTCTGTGCCTCAGCATAGATCATGCTAAGCATGTACACTTAGGGGAAGATAAGGAAATGATTCAGCTGAAATTTTGTTTCTAAATTTTAGTACTGAAAGTGTATTTGTATGTTGTGCCTTTATCATGTTTTCCAAATTTGCATCTTGCAGATACACACCATGCCTTGGATATAAAACAATGCAAAAGGGAATATAGCAGGGCTGTAGTCTTCAAGTGAACCTATGAAGTAAGGATGCAAGAAGCTATAAATGTTGATGATATTTTTTTTTAGATATTTTCTTAATTTTTAAAATTAATCTGTTTTATAAATTCTTCTAGTGTGATAACTCAAATCCTTTACTTGTCGGTTCTCTTATCAGCACACTTTTATGTTTACACTTTTTTGTTTAAGAAGCAGAGATCAGCAAACTGACTTATCCATTATTTTTTTATTCATAACATTTTCTTTGGCACTAGTTTTTATGGTTTACTGTGGATTTTGTAGGGGATGTGTTCTTTGAAAAGGGGTGTGGACCTTATTAGCCTGGGGCTAATACAGGGAGACATGTTTGTTTTTTACCAATTGTCTTGCACCTGTTTGAAAAAGAAAAGCACTCCTATTTGTTGTTTGTTCTTTGTACAATGACAATAAAGGCATTCTATTCTATATGCAAGCCCCACAAATCTGATAAATATTCAACACTGATGTACAGTTTTGTGGGGTCTGATATTAAATCCCCTATTGAATGCTGAAAATATTTATTATTATATATTTTTTTTACCTAATGTTAACTTGGTAAACTGATGGATAAAGGAGTTTTTGTTGTTGTTGAGGCATACAAGTGATGATGAATGTTTAAATTTGGCCGAGCCGTAACGCACATAAATTTAAAAAAAAAAAAAGCTATGTGGAAAGCACTAAGTGGTCCTCTGTGGTCCCACACCCTCTGGCCACTGTCACTGACACTGTCTGATGTTTGACAATATTGCTGAACCTGTGTTACCTACCTACATGATTTGTAAAGATAATATATATTAACTGTTGTATAATGTCCATCACTCAGAATTACAATTATTTTGCCTTGAGAGAGATTGATGAGTTGCATCCTATACCACAAGTGTTACTAAAATGTGTTGTGCATCAGAAAATTTCGTTTTTTATCATTGCTTGTCCTATTTGTATAAATTTAAATAAGAAAGCAAATCTTCTCGATGACAAATTTGCCATACAGTAGAATAGATGGCTTTTAGTTAACAACATTTGTGCATTATATAGGTAATTATGACGGCACTGTAAGGGTAGTTAATAACAACATAAGAACAACCTGATTACATTTTTATTTCTGCATTTGCACAGTTTATGTAACTGCTCAACATTTTTTCTTAAGCTGACCAAGGTTTAAGATTGACTTGTGACCTCAAGTCATCTGGTGTTTGAGATGTGCAGTCTGTCTATCTGTGAGCAATTTGTGGCTTTTTCAGGGGGGAGGAAGGGATCAGTTGTGTTGTTGCATGGTAATGTCATTAAGACTAGGGAACATTTTAAGAATACAGAGTGGTGTTTGTGGTACACTGACATCTGAAGCTGAAGGTCAATAAAAAAAAATGTATATTTTTTTTAAATGCAAGAATCAACCACAAATTTATATATCCTTTTTGCTTTTCTTTTTTTAACCTTCTGAGTTTAACTATCCCACAGCATAACTTATGGAAGCAATACGGTTTTTAGCTGATCGTCTAATCTGGTGCAGGTGTTGATGTGTTTTTTCAAATATTTTTTTTAAATTATTGTTTGTGGTTGCAGCTTTCTTTCCACCTGACAAAATTTTCTCTAGGAAAGAAAATGGGCACGAATAGTTCAGACTATGTCATGTTTTTATTTTAGACTTGTTTTATTTTTTTCAGCTCTGAGTGGCTCTGAAGTTTGGAGCAGTTTTGTAAGCCTGTGTGTTAAAGAGTGTAAGGAAATGTGTGTGAGGCATTACCAGGGTGAGGCTATTAGGTCCTTTTCAGACCAGGGTCATAATTACAGGTCCATTGAGACCTCTAGTGGCAACACAATCATTGGGCCCAATCTCCTACGGGACTATTATCAGAACAAACTTTATTTTTACACCTTTACTCAAAAAGTAAGCTGTATAAGAGGAGCTTTGTTTTAACCTTCAGATATGTTATCCACTTTAACCAGGATGGACTACAACACCTTGCTACTAAGGTTGACACAAAAAAAAGTACCTCATCACTCTTTCAAATTTTGAGTCAGTCTTTTATTTGGCCTTCGTATCTTGTCTTTATTTAAAAGGTTTTAGTGCCAATTCTGAACAAAATAGTGGCTTCTTTCTGCACAGTGAAAATGTTTTACAGGAATGCACCTCCGTTTTTAAAATGTGTTTCATATTTTACAATACAGCTGCAATAGTCATTGTAGGAACCACTGGCTGAGATAAGGATCTCTCTCTGACATGACACCATCTCTGTAGTTCTGACAAAACACACATTTTACACTTGATGCTACTGGGCATACAAATGAAGTCCTTAACATGATGTTCAAGGAGTCATACAATATGCTAATATTTCCACTGAATTGCTGGATATGACTCAATGCGGAAAGTAGTCTGCACAAGTCCTGCTAATCTCTAGAGTAACTTTGGTAACCTGTGGCTGGTCATAGGACAACCTTGGTCTTAGGTTGGTTGGCTCCAGGTTTCATGGCTGTAGTGTAAGAAAGACTCTTTTGGGATTTCACCTGCACAGACATTGAAAACATTATTAAGGAAGTGGTTCTCCAAAGTTTGCATGAAATAACCTTTTTTTTAGCCTGCAGACATTCGTCCTATCCTTGTCTAAAAAGATGCAAAACTGCGCAGCCAGGTTTCAAAATACGGTGTACACAGTTTTCACAAAGTAACAGTAATCCCCATTGAGATCTTTAACAACTGCGTACATGTAACTTTCTGGTGTCCATATAATTTTGTCCCTATATAGCTCTTCTAATGCTGAAATTTCCACAATCTGACTCCAATGACACTGAGCTCCATTTTGTTTTTCTGTGTGTTTCAGGTGGGGAACCTCTTTGCCCTACAGGAGCCAACAGAAGTCTGCACAGGATGCTGCTGACCTTAAGTGTATAAAAGTCTGTGCCCATTTGGTTGGACCAGAAGTCTGCAGGACAAGGAAAGTGCAATTAAAAACAGGAGGATAAGAAGAGCGGGAAGCAGAAGGACCCATGGATGCAGTTCTGGCAATGCTGTAGCAGCACGGAATGGTTTGTGGGTTACACTGAGATGCAGGCCATACTGTGCTGCCGCAATAAAGCCTGAAAACACAACCTGGCTGTCCCATCTGCACAGCTTTACCTGTTGCCTTTTTTTCACAGATTGTATACTTAACTAAGACTTTTGTAATTCATTCTCCTGAGTACTGCCATCTTCATTATTGTTCTTCTGATACTGAAAAACTTAGCGGAGTTCTCCTCTCATCTGCTGGTCGCCTTACTGTAGCAGCACGTAAATATTGGAGTTAAGACTCTAGCTGAAGCCTCCAGTATTGATCGTGCTGCTGAAGCAAAGCTGACCACTCACAGTCAGAGCAATCCAACCACTCTGTGAACTCCAGGGATGCTTACAGGTACATTGATCACACAGATTTAGGTAACCTCTAAGACGGTCTTGATATAAAAATGTTAATTTCTACACACAATCCTCTTTACATGTCTGCACACTTGAAATAAAGAAAAGAAAAATGAATTGCTGTTGACTTTGTGTTTTGAATACAACATACTGAACTTACTGTTTAGTGTTTATTTTTTATTTTTTATTAAAATGTTTCGTTTGGCTTGCACTCAGAATCCTTTACATGGTTTTAAATAGTACCTTCACCCGCTATAAGAAGTCACGCACATGACGGCCTTTGCGTGGCCTCTCTGCAGCGCTGCTGTGGTGCCCAGCCTGTTCACTGTGAGCCGTGGTGCAGACAGATTTTCGGCAAATTACAATGATGACACTCAGTGTATTTAAGACTATACAACATAACTTAGAAAATATATATTTAAAAATAATACTGTTGCTCAGTTTTAAAAATTCCTTATTTTGTAATACATTCACCCGTTTCTTATGCCAGAGTCTCTTAATTCTATTGTGCATTTATGAGTGCCTTTACCTAAACACCTTTGATTTATTTTTTTATGTTCACTTATTTTACCCCGCATGTCAGGAATGAAATGTATTTGTGTAACAGGGTTGGAAAAACTCCGTTAATAAGAAGTGTTGCGTGCGAACCTGCTGCATACATCTCTGTTGTAACAGGACATCCGATGACGATCATCCCAAATCAGACTTTCCTAATAAAAGATTAAGATGTTTCTTTTTTTTTTCTCTCTCCAGGATTTGGGGATAAAGTGGCATATTTTGGTAGGGCTCTGTTTTTTATTAAATTTTTTACGGTAAAATAAAAAAAAAACCCAAAGAAGAAAACAAAAATGTTCAAAGTCATGTGAACCGAACCATGCTCTCAGTGAAATCATGAAATTAAAAAAGGACGTTATGTCCTTTTTTAATTATTTTATTTACATTTGTCATAGTTCGGTGGCTTTTTCTGGAAATCTGAGGCCCTGTGATATTTGCTGCCCCACTGAATGGATCTATACCGCAGCTGTCTTTTTCCATTTGGCCTTATGGGCCTATATCATGATAATTATGAAATCTGAATTTATTTGTTGTCTATAATTATTAATAAGCTGAATTTTAGACATTTGGCAAAGGTGACTTTTATGCAAACGACATTTAAGAGAAAACACTTGAATGCGTTATTGGAGGACATCTTCCCTACACGCATTGTGGCTGGCATTTTAAGTCTAATGTTGAAAAATGACATCTAAAATACGAAGGCTATTTAACAACCGAGTTGTGGTTACTTTTTAAGATTTGCCTGACTATAGTAGTGATATATATCCTTTTATTTTATAAAAGATGTTCCTGCAAGACGGACTGTGTGTGTGTGTGTGTGTGTAAATGTAATGTGTGTGTGAGGAATAAAATACCAGCAACTTCAATACAATTCTATTAAAATTATTCTAACTTTCCTGCACATTTGACTTAATGCAGTCATTATAATTTTATAATTTGGCAATTGTTCACAGTATCACAAAAACTGCATATGAGGCTTTAACATGGAAGCGTCTTGGCACTGTGCATGTTTCCACTTTTTCATCTTTTAAAAGAGATGCTCAGTCGAACTTTTTTTTTTTTTTTGCTTTTTCTTTTTTCCAATTGGATTTTGTCTCCTTTTACACTGATAGTGCTTATTTTATGTTCTTGTTTGATTTTTACAAGAACAAGCCCGTTCACGCTTTATCTTCAACATTTTCCAGAAAAAGTAAAAAACTATGTGTTAAAATTAATACTTTTAATACCAGGAAATAATACACTGAAAGATGTTTTAATTAGAGGAAAATAAAAGAAGTCTTCCGTTATTTCCCATCACACACTTAGACGCAGTGTGTGTAAAGGGGTGTATGAGTGCGGGACTTCATTTAGTGAACCGATAACACACTGGATACACTCTAAATGCTTATCACTCATTATCTGCACATTTTGTCTTCTTGATTGATTGTAAAGTTAGTACATAACATTTTATTTGATTTCAACTCACGCAGGCCTAATGTTACCAAAGACACTGAAATGGCTTGACATGAAATGTGCCAGAAAAGCCTTCTTATTCATTTATTCACACGATTTTACTCTTAATTAGAGTTGAGTTGACGTGTGTAAGGCTAAATTTAAAAGTGCGTGCCATGTCAATTGAAATATTAATGTGGAGTGCTATATTTATTTCCACCCTATATTTGCCTGGCAACAGAAGGCTATATATATATAAGAACGTGCGTGCCATGACGTTCATCCTGAATTATGGTCAGTGCTGACATCACGGATTTACTTTGTGGTCTGATCTTTGGATTTTTTTTTTTTTTTTTTCCAAAATGCACGTGTGTTCAGGATAATAAATGATGAAGATACATGACCAGTTCACGGTGTCCTTTTTGCCAATGACCTACTTAAACAAACAGGACTGTTGGTGATAAGCACAAAAAAATACATCACTGTACAACACTGAATTTTAAGAATTACTTCTATTTCAAAATTGTATGCTGATTTAAATGCTTGTTTCTCCAAATTCAGATGCACAGCAGAAAATAGGCCCCATACTGTATTTTTAATATCCCAGTATTCTGCAGATGTTTGACTTTATAGACCTAACGAGTCATGCAACGAACGAGTCACAGCCACAAATAAATCTTGTGCAGCATTAAAAGTGAGTGCTCACCACACGAGTCGATCAAGTACCCACTTTTATTATCGCTGATAAATGAAATAAAGCATCATCTTAAAGAGTTGTGTGGCAATAAGAATCACAGGGGGGGGATGCTCTGTTTCTTTTTTTTTTTCTTCTTACACCGTGTCTGCAGCCTGGTGGATATTGCACACGGGCCCTGTTATGCAACGTGTGTAACCTTGAAGAGGTTGCAGCATCACCGTGGTGCGGATGCGCTCTGTGGGGGAAGAGGCCTGGGGATTATCACACTCTATATTCCTTCTCCTTTTAAATACCTACATTCTTTGATGGTGTCACTAAATAAGAAACAAACATGGATGTGACTTGACTTTCTTGTTTTATTTATCAAGATCACGTAGACAAGTGAAGATGTCCTCGTTATTTCTCAGAGAATCAGCAAAAAAGGAAGAGGAAAAACGGAATGTCGTTTGTAGTGGTGTTAAAAAGAAAAAGAAAAAAAAGGTGGCTGAAACATCTGTGGAAAAAAAAGTATTCTATGACTCAATGAGGTTGAACATTTTGTGGAAAAATTTTAAAAAACAACAAAAAACATGGTTTAAAAAAAATGTTAAAGAAGACTGTTAATACTTAAAGGCATCACACGGATCAGTTATGTAATCTAGCTGTGAGTGCATAGAGGAGATGCCACAGCAGGCTTGTGATTAAAACAACGTACAGCTGCCAATAAAAGTGACAGTGTCGCCGATAAAGTTCATGATGCATTCCTGACCTGCACCCATTAATCGTACGTACATGTCAGCCATATCCCGCAGGTACACACCAGTAAAGGCGACGTGCGAGGAGGCTGCAGCGAGGAATGGTTCTATCTGCAAAGACACTGAGGAGGATGCGGGGATGTGCAGCAGCAGCAGCAGCAGCAGCGATGTTGACAGGGCTACACTGACAAATAGGATGATCCATCTGGCTGTTGACATCCGCGAGCCCCCAATTCGATAAGAGCCATTCTCGTGGGGGACCGAGATCTTGTCGACTTCTCTGAGCCTCAGCGAGTCCCACTTTTTAACATCGAAATTACGCACGAGTGGACCGACGTCCGTGTCTTTCCGAGAGGGCAGAGGAGTCTCCCTAAGGACCCCCAGCTTCTCCCGAAACTCCTGCATCTGCTGCAGAAAGCACAGGGGGTCCGAGACGCTCTTGAACGACTCCGCGATGCCGAGCGCCCGCCTGTGCTCCTCCATCGCCGCGCTCAGCTTGGTGATCTCCGGGTCGTACGCTTGCAACACCACCAGCTTCAGCGTTTCGAAATCGGAGAGGATCTCGTTCTTTTTACATTCGAGGGCGCTGACGAGCTTGTCGAAGTAGTCTGTTACCTTCTCTGCGTCCTTCGTCACCGACTGAAGCGCGTTTTTCTTACTGGCTTGCAGTGTCTCCAGGCAGGACACGATGTCTGCGCTCTGCCAACTCTCCACTCCGCGGAGCAGCTCTTCAAATGCCTCCTTCTCCCGCTCAAACGCCTCCTCCAAGGAGCAGAACTTGTGCCCTCTGTGGTCATCCGTTGTGGCGCAAAACCCGCAAATGAGCCTCAAGTCCGTGGCGCAGAAAATATTGAGAGGCTGTCCGCAGTGTTGTTTACAAACAGACATCTTAGGCATGAACCGTATCTTGCTGTATTTCTCCACGATCCCGCGCAGAGAGTAGTTGATCTGCAGGCTGTTTGCGCCGTTGTGAGGCGACTCTTTGCGGCATGTGGGGCATTTGAAAGGTGTTCTGAAGGCTGGTCCTCTGTTTCCCTCCAGGAGTCCCTCCAGGCATTTCTTGCAGAAGCTGTGCGAGCACAGCAGCACCCTCGGGTCCTCGAAGAGACCACAGCAGATAGGGCATGTGAGTTCGTCTTCGAGCTGCTCCATGTTGTCATCCTGCAAACACAATTTATCCGGGCGTCAAATCGATGCATGTCACAAATCAGCACTTGGATCAAAAATAGGGCTACGGCACAATACGCACCCACACGCAGAGGGGGGATGCTGAACCCAAAGAGCAGCACAAGGCAATAGCCTACATTACACACGAAAAAGGATACAGATTGTGTAGTCATGATCCAGCTGATTCTGGAGTATTCCCATCGTGAAAGTGAAACTGATTCTCATCGCAGTGCCCGCGTAAAAGGAGGCTGGCAAAAGCTGTGCCAAGCGCTCCATTTGCCAATCTAACGTTAAGTAACATCCTGCTTCTTGTTGTCTTTCAAAAAAAACAAAAACACACACACACACACAAAAACAGCTGACGTTGGCAGAAACTTGAAACCGCGTTGGCAAGAAAAGAAAAAAAAACGGACTGGAATAAAAGTCGAAATAAATAACTCTGACTCAAACAAGCCAATAAATGTAACCTCGCTTTTGTATTACATAAAAGCCAAGGGGCGATGGTTTAGCTGTCTGAATATCTAAATTCCCGCCGTCTAACCAATCCAATGCGACAAATGATCGACAAACAGGGTGCGTGTGAGCGTTGCTCCTGTTGGCAAGGTAGTGAAGAAGAGCTGTGACAGATTTTGCAAGCGCATAGTAACATGCAACTACTGGACCAAAAGAATCACTCACCAGCTGCTGAGACGCACAGTGCAACGCAATCATGGCGCTTGTTGCTGTGCAGACTTCGCCTTTTCCGGGTTCACAATTCACCCTTTCAGCGCCGCGCAGATAATCGCAACGCGCTGGTTTGCGTATTTTGCGCATTTTGCGCACGGGGGAAAAAAAACCAAGACGTGCAACACAGTGCCACTAACGACCACGACACGCGTGGATGGGATTTTCACGGCTTGTTTGTGATCTTGGAGGGTTTTTCGTTTTTGTCCCTACTAGGCAACTTGCAGAGGATCCCTTGCCAGTGAGATGGGGGGAGGGGCTGTTGCTATGCAAAACATTACAGCGTGAAAAACTGTCAACTAGGTTTGAGTCCCAGCTTGGCACCGCGGGTTTTTCTACTGCCCCACTTCAGTAGACTCGCTCGTGTGTGTGTGTGTGTGTGTGTGTGTGGGTACTCGTAAACATCTGCAAACCTTTAACGTGAAAGTGGGCGCAAGTGAAGGCACCCAGCTGCATCTACTCACATACAAAAAAGTAAAACTCTCCTGCACTGGGCAGATAAGTGGCACATCAATTTGGCACCACAGAGACTCAGAATACTTGTTATATATTGCATAGGCCTACATACACACACATTGTCATATAAAAGGTTTGCTTATGAGCCAGCTGATCGAAACTGCTGAGAGTATTCCTCAGTTATGACTGGGTGTCACCATATTACCACTTCACCACAAACCCGTTTAACACAATTTCTAAAAAACTAACTTTCTTTACACTTTCGGTTATGTAACATCGATACCCAATAGTTACTAAGTCACGTGGAGAATTTTGACCTTGATTTTCTTCCCTTGTTTCCATGCCATCAGGAGCGACTGCCTATCTTAGCCGCTGTGATTGGATACAGTCGGGTACCAGGGGCTTATGCAGTACCAGCCTTCGCCGGGAGGGTGTCGCTGTGGGCGCTGACGTTCGACCGTCTGACGCTCTCTTTGATTTGATGGGAGTTTGTTTCCGGGTGTTTTTAACTAGCATCGGGGTAAGAATGGCTGCGATGTTTACGTGTTGTTTAGGCTGCTGTGGGGATGGCGCATCTGGGCATATTCCCCTCAAAGAAATGCCAACTGTCCAGTTAGATACTCACCACATGGGTACGTAAGTTTGCCTTTAATATCCAAGTCCAAACACGCTGAGTTAGATTCGGGTTTGACTTGATGGTTGGCTACTTCCGCCGTTAGCACAAAGCAGCTAACCGATAGCTGAGTTGGAACCTGTGATGTAAAGTCTGTTTTCCGGTATCTATGACTGTTTTCAGGTTCTATTATCAAACTCTGTTATTCTCCATATAAAGCTACAATTTATTTATACACTAGACGACGCAACGTCAGGTTAACCTAACTCAATACATGGTTGTATATATTCTCATTCTTATTTTTTATATTTTTAAATTTCAAAATAAAAAAAATGAAATAATGATAATAATTTAAAATAAAATATTTCTTTTAGATTTTAAAATAAAATAAAATGAAAATAATAATTTAAAATAAAATACAATTTTTAGATTTTTAGATTTTAAAATAAAATAAAATAATCATAATAATTTAAAATAAAATAAAAAAAATTGATTTTAAAATAAAATACAATATAATAATAATAATTTAAAATAAAATACAATTTTTAGATTTTAAAATGAAATAAAATTAATAATAATAATTTAAAATAAATACAATTTTTAGATTTTAAAATAAAATAATATTAATAATAATAATTTAAAATAAAATAAAAAATTTTGATTTTTAGTGCTTATTTACTTTGTATTTAATATTATATTGTGTTTAAATTTTCTAATATTGTGTTTTTTGTTAATATTGTGTGTTTGGACAACCTGCTGCTGTAACGCCACAATTTCCCAGTTTGGGATCAATAAAGTAATTCTATTCTATTTATTCTATTCTATTCTAGTCTATTTCTATTCTATAAAATGCTATTGATGCAATTGTAAGGCTTTGTTAAAAAAAGTTCTGATTTGTTCATTCATAGTAAAATATCCTTATTCAAAATTCCTAAAAACCCACCTTCTCTCCCGGCTATGATAATAATAATAATCCCACTGGGAAACTGTGTTGTTGTTTTACACCAGTGGTTTCCAAAGTGGGGGTCGGGAGACACTGGGAGGGGGGGTCGCGAGTTGCCTTCCAAAAACAAGTGCAAACTGGAAATGACTAGAAATGACATATTTGACCTTTTATTGTGACATTACATACAAAACTGTTGTTCAATTAGTTTAAGGCTGCTGTATTTTTTTATTGTTGTTCTAATGTCAGTGTTTGGATAGGCCCATTAGTGCGTGCTGCTGTGTTCACCGTTATGCTTTAACCACTTCTAGGGACAGAAGGGGTCCCCGGTGTCGCGCATCGTTATTTTGGGGTTCGCGGGATGAAAAGTTTGGGCACCGCTGTTTTACACTACATGAGAGGTTGTCTTAAGGGCTCATTTTAGAAGGTATCATCTTTGGCTTCAGGAAATTATGGATGTCATGAAAGACTATTTACTGAAATTTAATAGATGTGAGAATTGACTGATTATAAACAACATGTCATAAATTAATTGAACTGTTTACACTCCCTCGGTTGGTTCCTGACTTTGTGTTCTTGACTTTGCATTGCAGGCACCGATGTTGTTATTGTGAAGAGCGGCAGGAGGATATGTGGCACCGGAGGCTGTTTGGCCAATGCTCCGCTTCACCAAAACAAAAGTTATTTTGAGTTTAAGATCCAGTCTACTGGTAAGCCCTTTTGCGTCTGGCTCCCCTTCCTTCTTTTCTTCACACATTGACATTTTCTGTGCATTCCTCGTAGGAATAATGAGTCTTACTTGCTGCAGTTTTTAGTAGCCTCAGCATCTTGTGACTTCATGCTCGCTGTGGGAATTTTCCCTCGCGAACAAAGAGCGCATTGGAAAGCACAAGGGAGGTGCTTACTGAGAAATATGGCACTTAAGCAGAGCTGACCTCTTGAAGCACCTTACTCACCACATATTGTTTAACTAGCATTAAGTTACAAATTGGATATTTATCTTGTCTGCTGTTTTTTGATTGCAGATGGCTTCGGTCAATAATATTGATTTTTTCATAGTGTTTTAGGAGTGTTTTGATCGTGCTGTCCTTGTGTCTAGGTATCTGGGGAATCGGTGTGGCGACGCAGAAAGTGAATCTTAATCAAGTGCCTTTGGGCAGAGATACAAACAGCCTTGTCCTGAGGCATGATGGGTCTGTGTACCACAATAATGAAGAGAAGAATCGCCTGCCTGCAAACAGCCTTCCTCAGGAGGGGGACATTGTTGTAAGTTGATCCTCTAATTGAGGTTTGATGACCTAAACATTCAATACTTAAAAGTGTTGCCAGCCAATTTTAAAGCTCAAAAGGAAGACACTTTTAAAAATACAGACAATTAACAGACACTTTAATGAGCATTCTGAGAATAAAAATGATGTTATCCGACATGGATCCACACACAGTATCTTTTCACTAAGTGCGTCAATCCTGGTTACATGGATCTGTTTTAAATAGTTAAGTCTGTGAACATATTGATCTATCTCATGGACTTCCAATAGGCACATAAATGTAGAATTTGTGTATTTTCAAAATTGTTATCAATCCCTTTAGACTAATCATCTGCTAGAAGCCTGGTGCAGCAGGCTGGTCTGCAGGTCCCATGAGACCAGCAGTAGATTTTACATTTGAGGGTTTTTCCATGGCAGCTGGCGTCAATAGTCACATTGCATCAGCTGGTCTCATACTGGTCTAATAGCCTCGTGTCTGTTTAATGTGCACCCATCTACGCATCAATTTGAACCTTGGCATTAGTTTGTAACTGATAAGGATATTTCATTTTTCTAAGACTACACTCTTTGGAAGTTTTCACAGAGTGTTCTGGTCATTCAGGTTTATGAAATCCTTTTGATAGATATAATTACGTGAGTAGAGACTGGAAAAAAAAAAACCAGATTGTGGGCGTGAGCGTGTACAGCAGAGAATCCTTCAGGCAGCCATGGCAACAAAAGCAAAACACATGCTGACCTCTCCATGTCAAAGTCTGTGAGCTTTTCATTAACTGCACAAAGAAGTGTTTGACACTTACATATCAACACATGAATAATAAGATCGACTGCTAATGTTCATTTTATGTTCCTCTGCAGGAGAGACCCAAACTTTAAAAACTTTAACCTGCTACGATTACTTGATCTAATAACTTTGGCCCCTTACCTTTTTTAGTATCAGTGTCTCGATGAACTGTCCCACTGCGAACTAAGCAAAACGTACTTACCGTAAAGCTTCAAGTAATAGCCTGGGCTTTCATTTACTTCAGTCAATGAAATGAAACCTGCATTTATCTGAGACAGGCGTCGTCAATACTAGACAGGCCTGCAATTATTTTCAAACCAAACTCATTCACAGCAAATATGGAAAAACTATGAACTGTAAATTTAAACCTGAAGGAATGTTTTACTGTTTACAAAATGAGGATATGGATATTCAACAAATCACTAATCTGATCTGCTTTGTAAGACACCACGTCTATACCAACCTGCATATTATATAAACACTAAATGCACAGTGGGGGGTCTAATTGAGACCTGTCAAAACGTGCAGCAACACCAGCCTAGTAACAGGGACTGGGCCTCAAATTGGGATGAGCTTTTATTTGAAGTTTTACGGTAATTACACTTGTGTAAAAGTAATTACTTCTCTCTTTACACATTTTCAGTAGAATTTAAATTCAGGCCAGTCAGTTACACGTTACCATAGACTCCTTTAGGGACTCAATAGGTGTATTTTCCCTCCGCTTGAGGCGTATGTACAGGATATATAAACACATGTACATGAATGAGATATTACTTAAATAAAAGTGTTGCCTGGAATAATTATTTGTATATTTGTAAGTCGAATATTCCTGAAGATGGTGCCACTAATGAAGGATTTGAGTTACCCTAAAGCAATGGTTCTTAACTG